CTCAACCTGTGGGATCTGATGCTGTCTATCTCCAGGTAGGTACTTTCAGAATAGATTTGAATTGGAGGACACCCAGCTGGTGTCTGCTGCAGAACTGCTTGGTGTGTGGGGAAGACTCCCACACATTTGGTCACAGAAGTCTATTTTCTGTGTTGATTGTGTCACGAGAGCAGAGCGAAAAGTTTGTTTTTTCCAAACAGAGAGAGAGCAATTATGAAGCACCCCGAGAGGACAGTAAAAGTGTAGTATAGATTCTCACTCCAGGCCCAAGAATGGCAAGTGTCACTACATAAGATTATAGGTGGCTTTAATTCCAGGACTGTTTCACAATTCCTGTTACTATTCTGTGAAACTTATAGTCTCAGAGCCACTGGCATGGCCCTGGGTTGACAGCTTGGCTAGCCACACCAACGAAGGAAATGAGGGAGAACCAGGAGCCACTGCTCTCCTGCCCACTTCTCTAGGTCATGGACTGGCCAGTTAGTACCAACATCACACACAGACAGCAGCAGGGGATTACAGGAGCACACATCCAGAAAACGAAACCACCTTGAAGTCAAAAAGCACTAACTCTTCATAAGGGCTCATCAGTGCCTGGTACCACTTTCAGCACTTCACACTCATTAACTTATGTCACGTTCACAATGACCTCATGAGGTGGTCACTATTACTGTGTCCTCATCTTGTAGATGCAGAAGCTGAAGCACAAAAAATCTGAGTACATTTCCCAAGGCTGAGCAGCTGTTAGGTAGGAGAGTCAGGATTCAAGCCCAGGTAGTCTGGATCAAGGATCCATGGTTTTACCCACTGTTCCACATGGCACCTGAGTCCCTTAAATGAGGTCACGTGCTGGAATCCATTGAGACTAACCTGACCTGCACTGGCTCCACACAACATATTTTTTCAAACAAAACATTTAAAATTTTAAAATTTGGGCTTCTAGTCAAGATGACAGAATAGACGGTCCCCAGCATCACTCTCTCCCACAAATCAACCAATTTACAACTATTAAAAAGCAATGACAGCCAAGGTGAGGCCACTAGGGATCAGGGGAAGAGGAGGAGAGACCTACGGAGTGCATGAAGGTGGGAGAAGCCACAATGAGATAGAAAGAACCGCTCTGACCCGCTCTGGCTGTTTTGAGCTCCGGCTGCTTCCAGGCTGGAGCTGCTGAGCACACAGAGCAGGAGCTGGCAAAAGCGTAGCTGTGCCCTTTGGATGGAGTTGTTTGGAGGCAGCAGGGGAGGAGAGGGCCTTGGTAACCCCCAGGCCAGCAAGAACACTAAGAGGGTTCCTGTGGACCCACATAGGAGTGAGGAGCCACAATAACTGAAAAAAAAGAAGACACTTGGGCTGGTGAGTCACCACAATTGACTGGCGCATGGCCCATCCCATGGGAAATGTTCGTAGCATGGGTGGCTGGGGAGATGGGTCCACCGGGGAACACTGGGGCACAGCATGGACAGCTGATCTGCCCCCAATCAATGCAGGACCACTCAGTGGAGACTGGTCAGGAATACAGAACTGCATGAGGTACACTTTGATGAAAAGACTCAGGCCCAGACCAGGCCCAGACCAGAGTTGAAAAGGCCCAGACCAAAACTGAAGCCTTGGCCACCCCCCACACACCCCCAACCAGACCAGAAATGACTACTGAGCCCCCGCGGGAAATGCTCTGGGCTCTCGAGGGCAGTGGATGGGACTGAGGGCTTCAGTCACACCCCTCTGACATCTGCACCCAGCCCAGCAATGACCAAACCACTGCTGGAAGCCCCCTGATCTCCTATGCAGGAATGAGGGGTGTGCCACCGGCCGCAACCTGGCTCCTCCTCCTTCTGCCTTCTCCCACCCTATTTCCTTTCCCTTTCCCCTCTTTCCCTCCCCCCATCTGCTCTGCAACAACATAAGAGAATGTAAAAAAATACATATTATAAACTTAAAAAATAAAATAAAATTTTTTAATTTATCATTTTAGAAACCACCCTCTTTAAATTAGCCCCTCCTCTGATAATTTATTATATTTACTTGTAATAATATCAACACATCTGGAAGGCTTTCAGAGGTATAAGAGAATCCTATAAGTTCTCCCTGTCTGAAAAATGTTCACCAGCTTTCCAGAGGGGTGTGTGGCAAAACCGGTTCCTGTGAATAGTGAACCAGAGTTCTGATGAACTCATCAGAAAAGTGGTATATCCACCCCTGAAACAGCCCACACCAAGTATCAATCCATGAGTTAGCTACATTTCTGTAGGACACATAGTCACTGAGAGGTTACAATTATCACAAGGAACACCCAAGTTTTCCCCTCAGTACTAAAAAAAAAAATAGGTATAGAACTTACTCTATAAAAGAGAAAACACATTAAGCACTGACTGACTGTCCATAGCTACTAACATCACAAAAAGAGATTTCGCTAGTTAGAAGTATAGGACAGGGCCGACCCCTTGGCTCACTTGGGAGAGTGCAGAGCTGGGAGCGCAGTGGTGCTCCCGCCACGGGTTTGGATCCTATGCAGGGATAGCCGGTGCGCTCACTGGCTGAGCGCCGTGCGGGCGACACCAAGCCAAGGGTTGCGATCCCCTTACCAGTCACAAATAAAGACAAAAAAAAAAAAAAACACTTAAAAAATTTTTTTAAAATGGTCCTTCTGTTGCTGTAAAATATATTATTTGTGCACAGTGAAGTCTAGGTGAGAGGGAA